TCCTTCCACCTCAGCCTTCCAAGTAGCCGGAACTACAGGCGCATGCTACCACGTCCGGTTAATTTTGTATTTATTGTAGAGATGCAGTCTCGCCAAGTTGCCCGGGCGGGTCTTGAACCCGTGGGTTCAGGCAATCCACTCACCTCGGCCTCCCACAGTGCTGGGATTACAGACCGAGCCATCGAGCTCGGCCTAATTTGATACTAATCTGCTGGATTAGTCATTTCTAAATCAGTTACTTCAACATTATCTACTCATATGTTTAAATTATTTCCTTAATTACAATCATTTTATCTGTTCTTTCACCCAAGATAGCTTTACAAAGAAAATATATTCATGATATAATGTTAGTAGGTTTGGGACCAAATTTATGGGTTCAGATAATCTACATGCATTCAGTCACATGCCCTTGAAAGAAACACAAAAAATAAACTATGAATAGAAACTACGTAACATTAAAATGAAAAGAATATTTTTAAATGCTTAAAAACGACTGGGCGTGGTGGCTCAGCCAGTAATCCCAGCACTTTGGGAGTCCAAGGCAAGAGGACTGCCTGAGCCTGGGGGTTGGAGACTAGCCTGGGCAACTTAGTGAGACCTTGTTTCTACAATAAATCACAAAAACTAGCCCAGCGTGGTGGCGTGCATCTGTAGTTCCAGCTGCTTCAAAGACTGAGGTGGAAGGACTGCCTGAGTTCAGCAGGTCGAGGCTACGATGGTCCTGAGCATGCCACTGTACTCCAGCCTGGGTGACAAGAGTGAGACTCCAACTCAAAAAAAAAAAAGAAAGAAAAGAAAATCCTTAAAAACACTGTAACATAAAAACAAAAATGTTCTGGTCAATTTACAGTCATGAATGACATAGTGACTGTGGTTCAGATAACTGCCTACCTAAAATTTTACATCATCCAAAATAGTGGAATGGATTTTTCTACCAGTCTTCAAAGCCCCTACAACTTGCATTAGTTATAGGGTATCTGGACATGCCTAAATAAGAAGAAACTACTTCCACGTGATTTTACGTTTCCTATATTCATCATAGTAATAGATATTTTGGTTATCTACCTTATAGAAAATGATCAATCAAAGCAGTAACCATGATCACTTTCACTGAAAACAAAGAAACCTCCATATAATACTTTAAAAAAAATTTTTTTTCTTTTTTGACATGGGATCTTCCTACATTGCCCAGGCTGTTCTTGAACTCTTGTCCTCAAGTGAGCCTCTTGCCTCAGGTTCCCAAGTAGCTGGGACTACAGGTGTGCACCACCCTTCCTAGCTTCATGTAGTACTTTTAAACTACATTTTCATGTACATACATAAAAACAAACAGACAACTCTATCACTGAATTTGGGAAATGGAAATATCATCAGTTCTATAAATTGTCATTATTTCTATCATCTCAAATTATAACTTTTTCCAAAAAGATTTATTTAAATAGTCTACAAAATATTTAATATAAAAATTAAGATGCAAATCAAACAACTTTGGCAACAGTGTTTTTAATACTATGACAGGAAACAGTTTCTTCAATAGACTCACCAAGCAACTTGCTGAAACAGACTTACCGGCTGGCTATCACACACTGAGCACCTAGGCTGGACAGAAGAGTCGTCATTCCTTTACCAAGGCCAGTACCTCCTCCAGTAATGAACGCCACCTTTCCTTGAAAACTATTAGGTGCAAGCATCGCTTTTTGAAGGGGTGGGAAGAATTTAGAATGTAAAGCTTCAGCGTTTTGATATAATATTTTTGTTCCATAACTGAAAAACTAAAAGGAGAAAAAAATGAATTGAAACTTGCATACATGTATTTCCAAAACACAGATGAATTTTTAAAAACTTACTCTTGAACTTCAATATTAATCATATTCTTGGATTAACACAAATTCACTGCAGACACAGTGGTATTGTACTTAATTGTTATTCTTTTGCTTTTTGAATATTAAGTATACTAGTAGAAGGGCTAAAAAAAAAATCACAGGCTCTGGAGCTAGACTACACAGAATATAATTTTCTCCCTACCTGTATAACCTTCAACAAGTTGTTTAACCTCTCTTTGCCTCCGTTCCTTTATCTATAAGACAGGGACAATAAAAGAACCTTCTTCACAGGACACTGTGAGGATTATATGAGTAAGCATAAGAAAAATACCTAGAGTAGTGTGTAGTACATAGTAAACACTGTAAATGATAGCAGGTATTTTGCTTAAATTTAACTTTTTGGGGTTGTTGTTGTTTGAATCAATTGCCCAGGATAGAGTGCAGTGGCCCGATCATGCCTCACTACATAGCCTCAACCTCCTGGGCTCAGGCGATTCTTCCACCTCAGCATCCCAAGTAGCTGGGACTACAGATGCGTACCACCATGCCTAGCTAAGTTTTTTATTTTTATTTTTTTCAGAGACAAGGTCTCAATATGTTGCCTAGGCTGGTCCCAAACTCCTGAGCTCAAGTAATTCTCTCACCTTGGCCTCCAAAGTGCTGGGATTACAGGCATGAATTACCATGCCCGCCTCAAATTCAACTTTTAAAAAACTAACATAAAGCATTTTTGTCTTTCAACAAAAACAATTTGGATAACAATCATATTCCACATTTGAATCACTAAAAAAAAATTGTTTTAATTTTTTATAAGGCTTATTAAATCAAATGCCTATTCCCATAGTGTCTTCTGGTCAAAAAACTTAGAACAGATTTTTCTGTTATTTTTTAAATGGGGGGGGAAATCAATTCATTTTGAACAAAAAAAAAATACACAATACTCAACTGTTATACTCAACTGTTATACTCAATTGTGAAAATCACTGTCATTCTTTTATATTTAATTATAAAAACTAACTTTAAGTGCTAAATACAATAACAAGACAATAGGAGCTAGCATCCACTAAATGGTTACCATGTGACAGGATTAGGTATCAAACTAATCGTCACAACAACCATATGATATGGGTATTATTTTTACCCCATTATACAGGAAGTGCTCAGAAAGATTAAAAATACAGCTAAAGCTGCAGTACCAAGATTCAAACATAGATTGGCAGGCTCCAGAACCTTCTCCCATAACCACCTTGTATATTGCTTTTGACTTTTCTGAGCTCTTGCTAATCTTAATGATTACACCAGGGAAATATGTGATATTCCATAAGGTCATGGTTGCAAGATTAAAACTCTGGAATATCATTTCCTGCTAGAGTACTTATGTAAACTAAATAAGTTGCCATCAGTTGATCCAGGATATCTGGAAATTAATCCTAAGGAAAGAATAAGAAATGTGGTCAGTGATTTAGGATAAAGCTGTTCATCAACTGAAAATTGCACAAGAAAAGGCTTATGATGTGATGTTACGTGAAAAAAAGAAACAAATATATGATATGTTCTTAACTACCAGCAAAAATATATTCTTAGAAAAAAGGTTGGAAGGAAATAACAATAAGTAGTAGACTCAACATTTACCATATGCCAAGGCTTTCCAAAGACTTTTCTCACAACAACCCTATAAGGTAAATTCCATTGTTACTCTAATTTCATAGCTTAGGATATTGAAGTACAGGTAACTAACTTTCAAAAATAAATAATAATAAGTAGTAAAGGTTTAATTCAGATCCAAGATCTGGCTGACCTCAGAGTCCACCCTATTGCTTTACATAGTTATCTCTAAGATTATGGATAATTATTTGAATTTTTATTTTTGGTTGGTTTGGTTTACAACCCTATTGCTTTACATAGTTATCTCTAAGATTATGGATAGTTATTTGAATTTTTATTTTTGGTTGGTTAATTGGTTTTTAGCCTTTCAAAATGTGTTCACAGGCATAGTAGCTCACGCTTGTAATCCTAGCACTTTGAGAGCCCCAGGAGAGAAGATTACCTGAGCCCAAGGGCTTGAGATCAGCCTGGGCAAATTGGCGAAGCCTTGTCTCTACAATAAATCAAAAAATTAGCCAGGTGTGGTGGTGTGACCCTGTAGTTCCAGCTACTTGGAAGGCTGAGATGGAAGGAACACCTGAGCCCAGCAGGTTGAGGTTGCAGCAGCAGTGAGCATGCCACTACGCTCCAGCCTGGTCAACAGAGTGAAACGCTGACCAAAAAAATGCTACTCATTAAGTATGATTTGATTTTTATAATCTGGAAAAAAATGACTGAAAGACAAAATTACCAAGATGACGTATAAAATAACTGGTGAAGATAAATTTGCAAATCTGGTAATGCTCCATGCCACTCGTTATATTTCTTTTAGCTTCATGTTGACAAAGCATTTTCTTTTCATATCCTTTTGCTAAAGTGTAATAATCCAAGCAACAATACAATAATCTTTTTCAACATAAATGGCACTTCTACTTAAGGCTGCCATCTGCCTCCAGAACTATTACATTAAGATGATGAATCAAGAAGTTTGTACAAGTAGGCTGGTTAATTTGTCACTGTGTAATAATAATGAAAAAGTGTATTCTAATTTTCCAAAGGCTCTACCATGAATTTGTATTTAGCACTAATTTTTGTAGGGAATTTGATGTGGTGCACCAAGAACAATAATTAAACAAGATATCTGCATACAAACTTTCTTCTTTTATTTATACTAAAATATTTCCTCAAGCTTCTTACTGGTAGAGGAAAGGATATAAAGGGAAAAATATAACATTTGATAAAAACAATTCCTAATTAGTGTCTATAATGTAACAGTTTATTATAAGGCAATCTTACCCATTTCATCTTATTAGATGATCAATACTGATCTTATAATTCCACTTCTTCACCAAACCAGAAGAAATTAATATGTTATTTTAATTCACATTAGCCTCTGACAAGTCACAGTATATATGTGAATATAAATTCAAGCCATCTCTTGGTTTACAGGAAGTTGTTAATTTCAACATTAAGATCCATAGAGATAATCAGACCTAACAGGATCATACTGTATTAAATCCCCTATTTCTAGGGGATCCTTAATAACTAAGATAGTATTTTTAATGTTTCTTTCTTAATTATGAAAAGTGGATACAAAACGGGCTTTTAAAGATGTTTAAATCTTATTTTGTACTTTTTCTGGAATTTGCTTTCAATCATGGAAATAATACCTTCCATATATTGATTTCTCTGAAGATGAAGATCTTTAGTGAGCCAAGATACTTAAAAATTTCTAAAGTCTTTCAATTTTGTATTCAGATTTTTGTAGTGTTAGAAGCTCTAAATCTCTCCCCCACAAAATTAGCTATCACCTATCTGCCCAGCAATACTCATCACTCTCCCACATCATATAAACAATCTTTCTCCCTCGTGTATTCCTAAATTATAGCATCTAAGCTAATGAGATGTGTCACGCATCTAATCCTCAAAATGGCAATTCTGAAAAAAAAGTCTTGACTTTGTCCCTTCCCTAAAGGATAAGAACTGCATCAATGAGATGTATACTTAAGTTACCTATATATTTTGGTTAATCTAAAATGTCTAAAGTAAATATCTAGAATAAAGGTTGATTGGTATGCCTAGGCCAAATATATTTTGTTAGGCCTGCCAATGTTTTAAAATTTTGAGCCAACATTTAGATATGGTAAGAGTTCACATAAAAATCAGAAGCTCTATGAACACTTGGGTCCACCTTCCTACATAGTTAAGTATGACTATAACTGGGCCCTTGGAACTAGGCCTGAGCTTTGCCTAGCCCTGGCTCATGCAGGCAGGTGAGTCCTTTTCAGTTTGTGTACAGGGCTTGCAAGGACCTAAGGCATTTGAGTCTAAATAATACCCAAGAAACTAATACAAAAAGGAAGAAAAGAAGCAAAGCAAGGCATTTATTTATTTATTTTTTGCATCACAGATATGTTTCTGAAATTTCATGTAAAACAAATTTCTGTAAAAAATAAATGTTTAATATGCTAGGCACATTATTAAATTATTAAAAGTCTGTTTCAACTCTATAAAAACCATACAATAATAGACTCTCATGTGGAAGTTGAAAGGGTAGATGAGTTAACATTTAAAATAACCCTTAGCTTAGCTAGCAATTTTGCCATCATCATCATACTACTGATGGGGCCTCCACATTAAAGTCTCATCCTTCTAAAACATGGATTCCTTCCAAAGTCAAAAAGACAAAAATCACTCTTGAGCACAGCATTCAAGTCATTGAACAATATAATTTCAACCTACTTTTCTAGCTCAACTTCCTACCCAGTCTGACACATAAGGATACAAAAACTCTACACTTAGCAACCCCTCAGCAGTTTCAAAACTTGCCACTTTCATCTTCTAGCCTTTGCTCCTGCTTTCTTATCAGCCTGAACTACCCACTTTCTTTCTCAACCCAGCAGAATCAGCCCTCAAAACCAGGCAACAGTGTCAAGATCTCTGTTGACACTTTTTAACAGGCATCTGTTAAAAACAGGCAAATAAATCCCTTGCATGCTAAACTGTCAGCACTCAGGTAGGCAGGAACACTACCTTATTCATCCCTAGAATAGGGTTTCTAGCACTAATTAAACATTCAATAAATGATGGTTTTACTGGATATAACACTGACTGCCAGGCTCCAAATCCATTCAAAAGTGCATGAGTGTTGACATGCAGTTTTATGTGAATAAATGATAGAAATCCAGCTCTTTGTCATTTGTTTAAAAAAGTTAAAACAGTCATTTCTAATTAACATAAATTAAGACATTTAAAAGTTAGCTTAAACCCAAGTAAAGAAAATCCAAATCTATCTACATGAGTACTATATCAACGAGTCATTTGCAAATAGAAAAGCAGGCCAAAGGGTTTAAAAAGGTATTCCA